CAAAAACTGAAAAATTATAGACCAATCGATGGGGCTAGAGCTTAGGGCTAGGCAGAAGCTTTTCAATTTTGATCGGGTAATATTTAGTGGGTGAAATAGACCATGACATTTGTGTTATATAAAAGTCAAATTTTCTATTAAACCGCGAATATTTTTAATCCCAGTGAAATCACAAATAGACGAACAGGTCAACTCTGGCCGTTACGTAGATGCAGATAGTAAATATATGTATATAGAAAGGAAGGGGATGTTAGCTAGAATGTTTATACCTCATGAATGGCTAGACCGATTTCGACAAATTTTGTCAATTCAGAATTCCCTCTTGACATAAAAGTATAAAATCTAAAAATATCGCATAAAAAGATGCCTATAATGATGTTAATATAGATTTTGTAGTATTTTGTGACATTTTTTAATTTTTTTCATATTTTTTATCGCATGCGATTTTTTCAATTTGACTTATAATATTGAATTATACATTTTTTAATTTTTTTTCATTTTACAACACAGGTTGGGGTTAGGCTCAGAATGGCTAGGCCTATTGTTTTCAAAGATGTCCGCAGTATATTTAGGGGTTGAAATGGACAAACAACTAAAAATATTCCTGATTTTGCAGCCGTTATAAAGTTAATAAATTGAATCCGAAGGAAATCTCACATGAAGTTAGAGTTTAGGATAGCGGGTAGAATGGACCACTACTTTTGGGTGAAAAATACCAACATTACTCACAGGCGATATCAGAAATACACATATGGCGAACTTCTTTTCTTATGCTGATTTAGTTGACGAATATAGCCAAATATCCTAGACAATCAAATCATATAGATGAGTCTAAATTTAGAGATACAGAGGGCGTCTTGCTTTTGGAGTTGATCCCAAAATATTTAGGGGTGCAAATGAACCAAAAAACAGAAAAAATTTCCTGCTCACACAATTGAAGAGAGTTAAGAACAGGGGAAGAATTCTAGCATTTTGGATAACCATTCGTATATGCAGCTGTAAGATGGGCCACAACAACTAACAGCACGATGGAGTGCGTAATATATCTGAGCAGTGCTACATGACATAATTTCAAAAGCGAAATATTACAAAATGGATTCGGACATAAGGGGACATAAGTAGAATACAATTTATTATGCCAAATTGAAATCGAAGGTGGCCGCCGCTACCAAATAACAATTGTTTATCAATCCCACCAATATGGGTATCAAATAAAAGGGCTGGACAAGAAGAATACAGAGCACTATACAACCTCACTATTTAAGATGGGCGCAGTCACTAAAGGTCAATTACTCGTGGGAACAAAATGGTAAAAAATATAAAAAAATACAAACAACACAGCGTAAACGAATGCCTCAAAAAGCGAAAGAAAAATATAACAGATATATCACCACTGTCCCTAAGCTATTTGCGAATAATGAGGCAACAATGGCATCAGACAGAATTTTTGATTGTAGACGAGATTTCCATGGTGTCTTATCAAATGTTATACATGATGGAAATGGAAAATTAAGAACTGTGAAAATGAGTTTTTTTGAGGAATAAGCGGTGATCTTTTACAACTGCCTCCTTTTATTGATATTTTGAATTCTTTGGGAGTCGGTGAGCTAACAACCAAAATGTTGGTATTTTAATGGGAAGACTTCTTCAAGACACCAGTGATGAGTTTGAATCAGAAAAAGCGTTAAGGGTGTACTCCACATATCAACAAGTTAATGACCACAACTCTGCTGTCTTCAATTTGTACAGAAATAATGGTGCATGCATTTACAAAATAAAAGCGCAGGATAAGCTAGTACACCCCACACGAAATGCAATTGCAAATGCAGACAATATGGATATAGCTACTATAATACCAGATGATATCAACAAAACGGGGGTTTTACCAGCGGAAAAATGTGTGGGGGCAAAAGTCATGCTACGGTCCAATATTGACGTTTCAAAGGGATTAGAAATGGCGCTATAGGGTACATCAACGAAATCGTTTGGCTTTAATTTCGTCGAACTCAGATGTATGCAACAGATGTAGCTTCCGTCCGAATTGATTTCGCAAGAGGCGGAGTACATCTTATACACCCGAAAGCCATACAGTTTCCAGCTAAGTACAATTACGGCACGTCTGAAAGAAGAAGGTTTCTTTTATTACTATCATGGGCTTCTACAATATATAAAATACAGGATCACGCAGTCGTATACTTAGGTGCGAAACTGTTTGAAGAAGGTCAAGCCTATGTGGCCCTTAGTAGAATAAGATCTTTGCAGGGACTACGTATAGAGCAGTTCGACTGCAATGAACTAACGGACAAGAAACCTTGCAATAATGAAGCACTAAATAAATTAAACAGAATGCGAAAGCCGTGGGTCACGTGAATACTCTACAAATTATCGATTTAGTGTGCGTTCACACTGCTGGCTGGCGAGAATCTCGTCCGTTCGTCCATGCATGTCGAAATTATTATACGACTGAGATAAAATTTTCCCAACAATATTTGTTTTGCCCAAAGGCGAACCTTATTGAAATTGGTGAGAATCGGTTCAAATTTAGATATAGCTCCCATATATATCTTCAACCGATTTCGGGTTAATTATGCACCAAATGGCCAATATCAGTTCGAATGACTTGAATTTTTGCAAATTCCGACGGAATTCAGCTTAGAAGCAAGTGCTTCAAATTTGGTGTGAAAATAAGTTCGGATATAGCTATAACCCTCATGTACATGTTTCATCCGATTTGCATTTTTAAGTCAATCACATACGTAATATGCACTCCACAATAATAGTATTTGACAGCGGGCATCAGATACTGCTCGAAAACACCTTTGTCAAATTTTATCGAGGTCGGATCAGATTTGGATACAGCTCCTATGTATGTATTTATCCGATTTTAGGTTTATTGTGCACCAAATGACTAATGTTAGCCTAAATGGACTGAATTTTGACAATTCCGCTTATTAGCAATTCAGCTTAGAAGCAAGTGCTTCAAATTTGGTGTGAAAATAGGTTCGGATATAGCTATTGCTCCCATATATATGTTTCATCCCTCACATGCGTAATATGCAGTTTTTATTTACACCTTCATCCGAATTTACGGTTATTGCTCACCATATATGTAATATCAGCCCAAATTGAATAGATTTTTTCACATTCATCCGAATTTTACCATTTGGTGAAACTCGGTCCGGTATATCTATTGCTCCAACGATCCTCATCGAAGTCATATCATCCACTATACAGCAATGTTATTTGGATCATAGTCACATAGATTCCCAATATAATTTTTTTTTTTTACGGGAACTCTAGTAAATTTGCATAGTGATTTAGGGTATCATATAGTCGGCCTCTCCCGACTTTTGACCTTTGAAATTTAATACATGATATATATCAAAAGATTTTTTCCGCTTAAGAATAAAGGTAAAGTAATCTCATGCAGTAACATAAAACATAATGATACAGAGAACAGAATTCTGTACTCCAGTACCATACAATAGTGGTTTATTCCGTTGTTTTTGTATATATAAGTAGATCATATTAGAAATATCCTTAGGAATTCGTAACTAAGTCCTTTCATGTTAAATTGTAAATTTAAAACTATATTTTCACTCGATGCATTTTGTTATGACATAAATTAAAACGAAACTCAAAAATCTATGGAACTTAACATTATATATACGCACCTACAAACCACATGCCTGCCACTAGAGCATTTTACCATATCATAATATTGTTTTACAACCTATATATCTAAAAAGCTTTCTTGTCATACAAAAAAAAAAACTAAATGGGGTAAAACGTTTTGCTTCCCATTAACACGAGACTATCTTCAGGCAATATTGTAACACGGATAGACTTTCATATCTGGCAAGTCTTGTTATAAACAAAAACAAACAAAGCCCATGAAATATGTTGAAATGCCGGAAAATCCGGTATGGCCACCGCCACCACCATCATCACGGTAATCCCTTCTTACTTACAGCAATTAATTTAATCCGATAAGAAATGCCGCAATAGGAAAAAGCCGACATATATATATATATAGGTACAAACACATTGTTGTCACATACTCCTGCCATCTGCTGGCAGTTCGTTCTCCTATCGTGGGGAGTGCTAACAACAGCAGCAGCAAACACTTTCTTTGAGCGATATATCGGAACACGCAATCATTAAGAAAACATGATTATTTCTTGTTGTTTTTTCTTTTCCTTGTTCTTCTTCTTGCTATTCTACTTTCATTCATTTGGTGATAAATTTCTCAGACATAAAGTCGAGAATATAGGGGCGTGGAATAAGCGAAAGTGCAAGGAAAGGAAAAGGCATTTTTTTTTCTCACAATATGTATGTATATGGATATTGAAAGACACTAACAGCTAGCGTTTATATATACCTACACATACATACATCCAAAGTTCAAACGTCAACAAGAAGTTCCCCGTTAACACGCTTACCTCCATAAAACCAAATACATTCAAAACCCCAGCCGAGACCAATCGATATCATGGTGTTAGAGCTTTAGTTATAATCGTTGTATTAGTAAAACAAGGAGTGTCAATATGGTGTAAATTTTATGACCCCAACAACAGTAATTTATTTTATTCCATTTGCCCTTTACTTCCGTTTGTTTTTTGTTATTTAAACGCCGATATTAAAAAATAGAGCGTATAATAAAACTAAGCCCACAGTCAAAGGATATGGCTTGTAAAATGCTGTCTACTGCCAAATGTGATACCATTTCTGAGTCACATAAAGCTTACCCACAATCATGTCATATCTGTACGCTTTGCTTTGTTAATTCTATTGCCGCAATTATTGAAACACACCTTAATTTAAGTCTTTAATGTTAGTCTGTCTTTAGAATGGCGGATAGTAGTAAAAATGTATATTTTAGTTTTCTAACCTGTCATGTATGTTGTTCTTATATTGTATTGTTGTATTCTTTATGTTTATTAATATATATTTTCTTTGTTTTCTTTCTTCTTCTTCTTTGTCTTCCGTGTTGCATTTAGGGTGCTACTGGGGTGCCAGGTGAACGCGGTGCCCCCGGTCCCAAAGGTGACCGCGGCGATAGGGGCGATCCTGGTCCTCGTGGTCCCGAAGGTCTACAGGGTCAGAAGGGTGAACCAGGTGTCGACGGTATGCCTGGTGTTGTGGGTCCTCCTGGACCGCCAGGACCACCTGGTTTGCCGGAGAATTATGATGTAAGTATTGTTGATAATTTTCAATTAAAAAAAATATTTTCTATATTTTTTTGTTTTAAAACTGCTCTTATTTCCTGTTAAGAAAAGAAACTGTGGAAGAAGTTGTGTCAACGTGGTAGTGACTTTTTATGTAATACTGCTTATTTTTTACCCTTAACCATCGATTGATTTTCACATTTTCATTCCGTTTATAAGACATATGCAATGGAAGATTAACTCACTGCGCTAAACATATATGTAGTGGATTAACCTTGAAAGTTTGGGTACATCGCTCAACTGACCAAAGGAGAATACAAAAAAGTAAAAAAAAAAAAAAAACATTAATTAGGGCGGGCCAACCATCCTCCATCAATACCAACCATTCCAGACACAATACAAATTGTTGTGATAAATTTTAAAGCTCTATGTCAATTAACGAGGGGTTTATCTTGATTTTAACAGACAGACAGATGTACATCTTTATATGCTGATCATGAATATATGTACTTTATGGGGACTACGACGAATATTTATGGATGTTTCAAGGTGGAGGGTATAAAAACAGTCAAAAACGATGTAGCGATATAAACCTCATATGCATACAATTGATTTTGAAAAATAAGTGGCCGTCAGCAAGAAAAACAAGTAAGAAGTCATTAAGTTCGGCCGGTCCGAATTTCCAATTTCCTCCATCATTTTGTAAAGAAAACATTTTTGTACAAAAGTATCTGGATTCAAATGTATTTCAGTTTAAACTACAAGCTCCAGTAATATCGTCAGAAGAATTAGGACCATACCAAAACGGGAGCCAATATAGACAATTTTTTACTACAAAGTTTGTAATCTATTGCAAGTCTTAAACACCATATTTAACATAATTTCTTGGGAAAATTTGACTAGGATTGTCAAAATACCGAACATCGGTCTATATATCAAATATCATATACCGAACGGTCGACCATTATGTACAATGTTTTGACACTGGTTGTAGAATCGCCAAAATACCGAATGACCGAAGGAAGCGTTATATGTGCGCTATGCGAAAGCTTGGACCTAGATATTCAATGTTCTGCTACCGGAGCTAGATCCCATTAAACCACCAATTTTTAGACAAATCCGGGGGGAAAAGTAGCTAAAGCCATCAAAATACCGAATATCGGGAGGTACCGTTGTATGGGGGCTATATCTTTCCAAGGTGGAGGGTATAATAATGGAGAAGGAAATTAGATGGACCCATAGTCACGTTTGAGGATTTTCATAGAATCGCTTTCTCAATCAGTCCGTCCGTCTGTCCATATATTGTTGTGAACGAAATGCAGGTCGCATTTATTATCCGATTGAGATGAAATTTTCCAAACAATATTTGTTTGGTCCACGAATCGTATTGAAATTGGTAAGAATCAGTTGAAATTTAGATATAGCTTCCATATATATCTTCAACCAATTTCGGGTTAATTGTGCACCAAATGGCCAATATCAGTTCAAATGAACGTAATTTTGGCACATACAGTCTAGAAGCAAGTACATTAAATTTGGTGAAAATCGGTTCAAATATAGCTCCCATATATTTGTTTCATTTGGGATTTAAAGTCCCTCATACGCGTAATATGCACTCCACAGGAATGATATTAGGTACCAGATAACTTATGGAGCTCAAAAATACCTCTGTCATATTTTATCGAGACCAGATCAGATTATGACATGGCTTACATACATATCTTTATCCGATATCAGGTTTATTGGCTAATATCAGCCCAAATGGACTGAAATTTGGCAATTCCGACTGAATTCATCCTCGAAATAAATACTTCCAAAGTTAGTGAAAATCGGTTCAGATATAACTTAGCTCCCATATGTTTGTTTCACCCGATTTGGTCTCAAAGTCCCAATTTTGGTACCAGATATCAGATACAGCACAGAATAAGTATTTAAACTTTTGTCAAGATCGGTTCAGATTTGGATTCAGCTACCATATATATCTTTATTTATTTGATTGGGCTGGTATTAGTACCAAAATACTAATACCAGCCCAAATGGATCGAATTTTGCCACTTCCGACGGAATTCTGCCTAAAAGCATGTGCTTAAAATTTGGTGAAAATCAGATACTGCTGGAAAATACCTTTGTAAATTTTTATCGAGATCGGTTTGGATTTTTATGTAGTATCGATCCGATTCATCCGATTTTACGGTTACTGCTCACCATATATGTAATATCAGCCCAAATATATATATATTTTTTTTAATATTCATCCGAATTTCACCATTTGGTGAAACTAAGTCCGGTATATATATTGCTTCAATAAATATTTTTTAACATAACAGAAGACAGAAGACTGCTGTAATAGTCTCATTATTCAATATACCACGGGCAAAAACAAAAGGCAAGATTTTTGAAGGTCTGCATGGCATTATTCCTATTATATTTCTAAATATCCACTAAAATGGGTTTGGAGCTAAGAGGGGTTTTAAATATATTATAGTATCGTAAGGTATCACATCTTTGGTACGTACGACTATAGCCTTTGTTTACTTGTTTGTATTAGTAATTTGGTTGAATATATCCGGCTAAAATAATACATAATGTGAATTAATTCGTATAAAATATTAAATCTAAAAGCGTTCTGAGTAAATTTCGAAAAAAAAAAGATAGAAGGTTAACATTTTGCACAAACATGTTTTTTCATATCTCACCATTTGAAATGTTTAATCAATCTTATTTTGATACTGCGATATTTGTGAAAAGAGCTTCTTGTAGGAATTGTACCTCACAAGTCACATTTGTTGTAAGTGATATGACAACAATACATAAGGTACGTTGTCGCCATTGTTTGTAGTTCAGAGTTCTTTTTAAAATGAAGAACTATCTTGTGCGTCCTTTTTCCTAAATCCGACTAACAAAACTGTTTTCGTTATTGTCATGGCCAAATTCCGCACAAGGAAATACTAGAGTTGTTTTGCCACTGAAAAACATTTTCCCAAACATTCACAATTTTATTTGTATCTGGATATTATTATTTCAAGTTCAAATAGCCATCCAATAAAATAAAACCAAGTAGAAATGTTTAATAAACAAAACAAAGCAGAACATTTTCTGTGGAAATTTAATCAACAAAAAAGGAAAAAACAGAAAACCCAAAAACATTTAAAAAAAAACATGGTCAGATACTACACATATAGTTGAGTCAAATGAAAGGCGTTGAAGTAAAAAACAAAAAAAAGAGGACACTAAATGAGCATGAAACAACCAAAAACCAAACATAGAAAAACGTGACTAAAATAGAAAGTTCAGGGCTCAACAACTGGGCCGAAGTCCATTAAATACCTCATCACAGACGAAATAAACAATAAAATTAGCTCTACAAATACTTGGGACTTTGGTTGCCGCTTGGCCGTTACAAACATATTTACGTTTTATGCTGCAGGACCAACACATTAAACGCAGCTGATGGGTTAGGCCACACAATTATACTTAAACTTTGCAAAATAGCGACAACAAAAAGCGAATTTCCTCGAAAAATAAACCTGAAAATAGCTTCGACGGAAAGTAGAACAATAAAGTAGAAAAAATTGCAGAAAAAAAAAATATCCGAAAAACAGTAAAAAGCCTATAAAATTTGAAGGATTTATTTTTTGTTCATCATTAAACGGACAGGGGTATATTTGATGGAGTAAATTAAACGCCCTTTTATACCCTACAACGTTATGTGTTGGGGGTATAAAAAGTTCGATTAGACCAACAATTATGTAACACCTCGAAAGATGGGTCCTGCACATATGACGTTATTTATAGGACTCACGAAATTTTGCATGGAAGTGGATTTTTGGTCAGAATAGAAGCCTATTGTTTTGACGGCAAATATTTTGGGGTGGAAATTGACGAAAAAGAGATTTTGCAATTGTTATACAGGGTTAGAGTTTAGGGCTGGGCAAAACCTATCATTTTTTGATCATCATTAGCGGATATAATAGACCACAATTTTTATGTAAAACAAGAGAAAAAAAAACATAAAGTTCGACCGGGCCGAACTTTTAGTACCCTCCACTATTGGGTAAAGAAAACATTTTTAAATAAAAGAATTTGAATTCAAACGTGTTCTAATTTAAACTACAAATACCAGTAGGACCGTTAGGAAAATGCTGTTAACATTAAAAAAAACATAAGGTGTGTGAGGCCTTTATATGGGGGCAATACCAAAACGGGAACCTCTATAGAAAATTTTATGCTTCATGGATTGGATCTACCAAATCTTCTTAAATACCAAATTTTGAAACAATTTCGTGGGTAAATGTGACTAGAATTATCACAATACCGAATGTCGGTGGGTATCGTTATATTTTACATACATACTATGTTCCGCCACAGTAACTAGAACCCGTTACGAAATGCAAATACCAATTTCTAGACAAATCTGTGAAGAAATGTGGCAAAAATCAAAATACCTAATATCTGGAGGTACCGTTATATGGTGGTATGTCACTTTTGACCGTTACAGTGATAGTGATAGTTATTGGATATATAGCAAAATATGTACAATCTATATGTAAAATAAATAAAGCAGCTTGATATAATGGCTAGGCATATTATATCAAATTATAAGGAAAAACGACTGCATGATTCGAGTGTGAATCTAACATCCCTTTATGATATGTCGCAAAATATGACACGTGCAGATTTGAAACTGCATACGATCCGTACACCTGTAGTTATTCCGCTTATAAATCAAGGACCGCTGGAATGATTTTGACAATTCTCAACAATTCGGAATGGCTGCCTGGCAAAAAAGATCTAATAAAAATTCGAATATTTGTTGTTATATTTTGTGATATTTTTTATTTTTTGTCATATTTTTTTATGGCATGATTTTTGTTTTTTTTTTTTTTTTTAATTTGACTTACAAATTTCTATTGTACTTTTTTTACACCCTACAGTTCTAGGTGTTAGGGGTATTTTATTCAGGTACCCATTATTGTCCGATTCTAACATGGGGGTAGATCTAGGGTCAGAATTGAAATTAATTG